AAATTTGGGGGTTTTTCAAAAGAATTTCTCCGAAACTATTTGGTACATCGGGCTCAAATTTTTAGGGATGACTGAAATTGTTATGCTCTTTCAATATTCAGAAATTTCATTTTATTAGCTTCATTGGACTCATTAGATAAGGGCAATCCTGTGATAATGACGCAAACAGTCCGGGAGATATCCATTTCCGGATATATGATGACGTCACTGATAATTGCATCTTGGACCTTCAAAGAAAAATCAGTATTCGCAACGCTTTTGCGCCGCTATTATTTTGGTTCCTTTCTTGTATTTGTATTGTATTGTATTTTATTTTTACTCCATCCTATTGATGATACGTTAGTTGTACAATATCAATTAGTACAAGGTTGATTAAACTACGTGTACATAATAAAGAAAAGAAAGTTAGAATGGAGAAGGGCACATTATAGAAAACTAATTATGGCCCTTTAACAGGATTGACACAAAACTATACAGCTTCAAAAGACGCGGCCATCATCATCGCTGACCGCTGACCGCCCTACCTTTTATGCCATGATACCACACGTTACTTGTAAAGGAACATCAGAAGAACATGTGAAACAAAAGAAAGATGGCTTGCGTCTCTGTAGTCTGCTACACAGCCGTTTTGGGGGTCGTCACGCAACGCTCCTCCCCACTAACGGCTGCTGAAAATCAAACTACATTCCTTTCCCGTGATTAGCCAATTATAATTCAGCTCCCATTTTCTGGAAGGTGTTCGCGCCACGTTTGCGGTACTGTGACTCCTCCAATCACAGCTTTGCTTTTATCGGTGCCCTATGTGTGAATGACAGAATAATCAAAATCGTCGCGTGAAAACAAGCAAATAACTACAGTGTTGTCGTAGTCGAGTCCTATTCAAAATTTAGGAGATAAGCAGCAGCAGTAAGCAAGTCGAGCAAATTACGATATACAACATGGATGTGCTCATAAAGTTGCCAGGTATAGTTTCGGGAAATCGCTCATCGATAATTTATAAGATTGCTTTTTGAATCAGTACCCTGGAGAGTTTAGTCTTCACAGCACACAATGAGCGCATCCGGCACATTAAATTCTTCATTACCTATCAGTACATATGCACGTTAAATGAAGAACCAACCGATCCTGGTAAAAGTTTTCCAGGCCTATCAAACCTTTTTTTCACTTGGAACTTTCTTGACCGCTTAAAACAAACTTTTTTGCAAATTAACCTTTTCCTTGCCTGAAAACACAGGGCCCGTCTAAATTTAGCGACGATTGATGGATTTGTCGAAAACTGAGAAGCGTGCTCGCCTCCTAGCGCCCTGCGGCTCACGTATTATAAATCTCTTATACATGATTGGCTTGTTCGTTAGACCACAAACACAAAGGGAAAGGAATGTAGTTCGGTTTTCAGCAGCCGTTAGTGGGGAGGAGCGTTGCGTGACGACACTAAAAACGGCTGTGTAGCAGACTAGTGTCTCTGCAACGCAGAGAAAGATCTGCCGAAAGTGAATTCAACGGTTGTATTTTTGATGCATTCTGAATTCAAAAATTTGTTTCACTTCTACTCATCTCCATTAGCTATCGGCCGAATTTGCTTTGTTTTGGTTTTGATCTCAACCAATCACAACGCACGATACCTATATCCAGGAATGGATATGTCCCGGACTGGCAAAAAAGGGTAAACAAGAGAGATATAGTATAAAGTGGCAATATGCCCGCGATAGCGCCCATCAGGACTGCGGACGGCGCACTTTTTTAGGTAGGTACTTTAAGTAGGGTTATTAAAGTGTATCAAGAATGCATTTAAAATAATGTATTGACATGTATACCCATGTAATGTCATGTATAGCCATGTAAACCATATATTACCATGTATCACCGTCTATAGCCCTGTAATGCCATGTATAGCCATGTATAGCTATGTATTACCATGTCATGCCATGTATAGCCATGTATAGCCATAAATACCCATGTAATGCCATGTATTACCATGAAATGCCATGTATAGCAATGAACAGCCATGTATTACTATGTATTACTATGTATTACCATGTATCGCCATGTATTGCCATGTATAGCCATGTAAAGCCATGTATACTCATGTAATGCCAGGTATTACCATGTATTACCATGTATAGCCATGTATTGCCATGTATTACCATGTATACCCATGTATACCCATGTAATGCCATGTATTGCCATGTATTACCATGTATAGCCATGTATTGCCATGTATAGCCATGTATTACCATGTATAACCATGTATAGCCATGTATAGCCATCTATTGCTATGTATTACCATGTATCACCATGTAATACCATGTATAACCATGTATAGCCATGTATAGCCATGTATACCCCTGTAATGCCATGTATTGCCATGTATTACCATGTATAGCCATGTATAGCCATGTATAGCCATGTAATGCCATATATTGCAATGTATTACTATGTATAGCCATTTTTACCCATGTAATGCCATATATAGCCATGTATTACCATGTATAGCCATGTATACCCACGTAATGCCATGTATAGCCATGTATTACTATGTATTACCATGTATCGCCATGTATTACCATGTATAGCCATGTATAGCCATGTATAGCCAT